ATCATATAGAGACTCTCTCTCCACACACACACACACACACACACACACACACACACACACACACACACAATTTAAAAAGGACTAATGATGTACTTTAGTATTCCTTGGTTTCAATCCCCAGTATCACAAACAAAAAGCTTTTTGTTTTTGAAATTGATATTTAAATTTTCTAAATATGTTTGCAAAATTAGAGCAACTTCTCACGCACATACCAAAAGAAACTATCTAGCTACTCAGTTGCTAACTCAATGAAGATTTAGTGTGTCATTTTTATTTATTTATTTTTTTGTACCGGGAATTAAACTCGGGTCCTTGCATTTGTGAGGCAGGTGGCAGAACCACTGAGCTAAATCCCCAACCCTACTGTGTCACCTTACACCCAAGAAATGTCAATGCAGGACTATTCAAATCAATTTGTTGTATCTATACAATTGATTGCAAAGAGTCAAAAAACATATTTTTGGTGAGAAAAAGAGACTGAAACCTTAGTACAAATATATTTGCCAAAACATGTTATGTATATTCTGTGTTAAATAGAATTCTTTTTAGGAAGTTTGGAAAATATTTTCATATTTTATTGTACATGATAAAATATCGGTTATAAAATCAGAAAAAATAACATAATTTTTATAATTCTGGAAAACAAAGCATTTTTCTTTCCTTTTTCTAACAAAAACTTTTATTTGGGGTTGCTAGGCAACGCTCCCGGAACAAACCATTCTCTAAAGTAAGGGGGAAGTCCGTGCCGTTTACACTTTCAGAATAGACGTATACTTGACCGGTGGTTGCTAGGTAACGACTTACACTGTCGCCATCTTTGAACGGGGCACCTGTTTTTACCAGTATAAAATGGAAATTCGGACAGAAATTCCTTGGCACCGTCGCCATCTTTGATCCGGGCACAGTTTTTCAATTTAGAAAGTAATTTATCATACAGGCTGGTTACTAGACAACGCCTTGAGACTATCACCACCTTCAGGCTAATCTTCATTCTCTTTGTTTAACAAATGAAGACAAATCACGTCAGAGAAAAACTATAAGGTTTTGCCTGTACCAGTACCTGTCATCTTTGTTAGGGGTATGGTGACTTCCGGCTGGGGCGGAAGTAAACCTAACAGGTTTGAGGATCTGTTCCAGTTGGACGACGGAGGCGGGAATTTAGTCCCCTTCCAATTAGCTGTTCCGGAGGGCACGCCGAATTACTGTGCTGTGATTGCCGGTCAGCTCCCAGCCCGGCACTGACAGTACCTAGCGGAGACTCCTTGGTTTGTTTTCCAAATGGGAGAGGAGGGGACAGGAGCCACAGTGCATCTGCTGTGCCTCGCGGCATCCAGCGGGGTCCCCCTGTTCTGCAGGAGCAGCCGAGGCGGCGCCCCGGTCCGCCAGCAGGTGGGGCTTAGACGTCTGGATCCAAATAGAAGTGGTCTGGGGTGCTTGCACTCCAGGTCTGTGAGGGAGGAGGGACAGGGAGGGTTCTGCTTTGACTTTAGAGATCCATGGGGCACACACCTAGGTGTGTCTGCTGGTTCGTCGCAGGGAGCTGCCCGGGAATATGGAGAGGGACTGGAAACTCGGACAACTTGGATCTCAAGGGGGAAATAATGGGGTGTCCCTGTCTAATGCCACCAGTTCTTCTCCAGCTCCCGTTCTCTGTCGTCGGCTCCCTCAATGGAGTCCACATGTTCGGCCAGAACCTAGAGGTGCAGCTGAGCTCTTCGAGGACGGAGGACACAACCGTGGTGTGGAAAAGCTTCCATGACAGGTCCCTAGGTGGAGCATGGGGCAGGGACAGAGCCTGGGTGATAACCCCTGTTGAAGATGCTCTTGGGGCCTTCCAGCTGGTGGTGGGACCAATAGGAGTGATGCTTTGTGACCCCCGATTTCCTCTATAGGAGAGGCAGGTTGGGCAGAGCAAAGACACAGCTTAGATTCTGGGGTCAGCAGGCAGATTCGGCGCGACCCACTGCCCCGTTTCGCACATCTGGACTCATCCTTCCTTCTCCCCTCTGTCCCCACAGCATCACCCTCATTGTTCTGTCGTCAGAGGAGGGCACCTCAGAGCTGAGGCTGGAGCGACTGCTGCAGATGGTGTTTGGGGCCATGGTGAGAACCCCCAGCACCCTTTCCTGCAGAACCTTCATCAGTCTCCTCCCTTAGCACTCAGGAATCCCGGTCTTCAGTCAAACCCTTCCTCCCTGAGACCCAGCTTAGGTACCATCCTCTGCTCTTCTAGCAGGACCAGTCGTCAAGGGGCCTCACTCTCCTATGTGATTTTTCTAGGTTCTTCTTATAGGACTTGAAGAACTGACAAATATCCGAAATGTGGAGAGACTGAAGAAGGAGTTGAGGGTGAGGTTGCGGGACACTGGGCTGGGAAATTGGGGTACCGAGGCACTGCCATTCGGTACTGCAGCTCCCAGCATCCCCAGGAACAGCATGACCCCGTAGTCAACTTGCTCATCTGACCCTGGAGGTCCAGCATTGCCGGTTCCCCCTGGAGGAGGCAGCAGATGTAGGGCCCTCCTGGATCCTAGGCTCCTCCTCTGTCTCTCTGCCAGGCCAGTTACTGCCTCATCGACAGCTTCCTGAGGGACCCGGAGCTCATCGGGGACCTGACCCAGTGTGTGGACTGTGTGATCCCTTCAGAAGGGTTGCTCCTGCAGGTACTGGCGAGGCTATGGGGACTCCCTTGGAAGTCTGTACTGTGGCTCTGGTTCAGTCGTCACCCTTTGCCCCTGGCCCACCGTCCCCACCTCGCGTCCTCTTGGCATCTAGTCTGGCCTCTCCTTAGTCCTAGAAGAATCTTCCCACACCCTGAGCTAGGTCTCCCTCTCCACTGCTCAGTCCTGTGGCTTCCACCTCCCTCAGGACAAGCGTCCAGCCTCCCAGCCCTGTTTCCAGGGCTGTGGAATCTGTTGCTAAATCCACAAACTACCTTTCCGCCTGCCTTATGGGCCTCACAAAGCCCAGGAGTTTTCCGGCTTCCCAACCTTGGAGCACGCTTCTTCGCCTGGTGAATCTCCATCTTCCTCTCCTTCAGCGCTGCTCTCCTCTGTTCACCTGGCAGGGGCACCTCCCAGCAGTGTGCCTGCCCTCCAGGGACCTGACTTCAGCCTTTTCAATGAGCCGTAGCTGCTGCTGTTATGTCTTCAGTACCTGCAGGGCAGGCTGGTAGTTATTAATTACCCGGATGCACAGTGGGTTGGGGACTGTGACCACACGTGAAGGCGAAGCAGCTCAGGCTGAGAGGATGTGACACGTGGGCTTGGCTGCTCAGCAAGCGCTGGACTGTCCCTGGGTCTCCTTGCCCTTCTCACCTACCTGGGAGTCACTGCCACGCAGTCTTGTCTTCCGACTCCCCATCCTCTTGCCCTTCCAGGAAGCCCTCTCTGGGTTCGCTGAGGCTACCGGGACTGCCTTCGTCAGTTTGGTGGTGTCAGGCCGAGTGGTGGCAGCCACCGAGGGCTGGTGGCGGCTGGGGATGCCAGAGGCCGTGCTGCTCCCATGGCTGGTGGGGTCCCTGCCGCCCCAGGCGGCTCGTGACTACCCGGTGTACCTACCGCACGGGAGCCCCACGGTGAGTGGGTGTGGCCGGCGGGGCATGGTCGGGGAGGCTTGGGTCCAGTTGGAAAGGGAAGGGGCCAAGCCAGGGTCAGCCCTACCCTGTGCCCTTCTTCAGGTCCCCCACAGACTCCTGACCCTGACCCTGCTGCCGGGTCTGGAACTGTGTCTGCTCTGCGGGCCGCGCCCACCCCTCAGCCAGCTAGACGCACAGGTGAATCCGGCTGCCCTACTCCCCGCCCTATGGCGCCTCCACCTGCCTGTTACCACCCAGGCCGGCCAGCTGGTTTATCCCGCAGGCCGTGCCCCCCAGGGTGTGCTCCAGTCACCTTCTGGCCAGCTGGCTCAGCCCCCTGTAAGCAGCTTCCCTCAGACCCCTTCCTGTAGGCCCGCCCCCACTTGAATCTGCCCTCCCATTGGTGCCACACGGCCCTGCCTCCTAATGACGACGCCCC